GAAACGGTAAGCTCAAATCATCCACATTTTAAATGTCGTGTTTTAAAGTTGTCTTTCTAATATCAGGTCAATGAAAGAATATAAGTTTAAATCTAACTTGTTATTACTACCTGTGTGCAAAATTTTAAAATACGCAATAATTTTTTAAAACGGTGCTTGTGGGGGAACTCCAAAGCTGACCTGATAACTTATTCTTATGGGCGTATGCTTGACAGATTAAGGAGATAATCTCACCCCCCCCCCCCTCCCACATACAAATGAATATACTCTTCTTCTTTTATTTTTTGAAAAATTAAAAACCAAAATCAGCATATTTGAAACAATACAATGCTATGCTAAGCGCCATCATTCCGTTTGTACGTCATTTTTAAACGATGCTCCTTGTTTTTTTTGTATTTATTTCTTTGGAAGGGGGAGTTGGCAGAGGGCAGCCCCCCCCCCCCCGTTCCCCAGAAAAATGCCTACCCCCCCCCCCCCCCCCTTTCGAACGAAATAAAATAAAATATAGAAAAATATATTTTTTAGTCAGTATCCGCTTCACCACCCCCTCCCGGAAATTTTAGTCCGTTCTCTCACCTCCCAGCAGAAAAAATCTGTTTTATTTCCTTATTTGAAACATTTTTATAATGTGCTCAGCATAAAGTTCAAAATTGTGCTGTGTTGCATTCCAAAATTTTAAAAAATCCGGTAGAGTATAACTTTATGGTCTAGCCGCCTTTACTTACCTAGAGTCAGGTACCCATCAAAGCTGTATTTACTCAAAGACGCCTTATATATTTAATCCAGTATCCGAACTCGAAACTACCGGGTTAGAAGTCAAAGACCCTACCGCTTGACCATGTTATTCCGTTCCACGAGTCTTTTACTGTTTTTTGCTTGTTATGTTTAAAGTTAAGTAAAAGAACTTGACCATGCCATCTGTATCAGGCGGCTGCTGTCATGACACTGAAAGAAACCGTATTCCTGGAGAAACAGAAAGCCATCGAAGACTTGAAGAACGACATGGACTACGAGAGGCGGGAATCTGCGGCCAGAAACGAGGAGCGACTCAGCCAAATTCTGAACCAGCATTCCTGTGAAATAGCAGTAAGATTTTACTTCATTTATTTTTGTAAAAGTTAATATAGTAGGTAAAGTTAAAGGATTTGGATGAGGGGACTACCTATTCTCTAGCTTTGATTTCAGAGTTTCTTCCAGGCATCTCTTCGCCACCTGCCCCCCTCCCCCCACCCCCTAACCAATGAACGTCTATCGCTCCCCCCCCTCGAACGAAATGGATTTATATAGAAAATATATACGGAAATTTTAGCCCCCCCCCCCAAAAAAAAATGTCAAGTGCCCTTCCCCCCCCCCCCCTCCCCCCCCCCCCTGCGGAGAGAAAATAAAAGTCTCGAATAAACACTGCTTGATTTGAGCATTCTAATTCTATAATTGCATACTGCAATAGGTAAGATTATCAAAAAGATCAACTCAGATGGTTGTTTAACTCGAAGTTTAACAATCAAGTATTAACACATAAAGCTTAAAAGCTTTATATTTTATTAAGCGTGGTTCAAGTTGATATTATGCATCAGCTTTTGTCGTTATTCGCACAGAAGTTTATAAAATATAAACTTGAAGTTTCTAATCGCAAGAAAAAACTTAAACTTCGATAATCTCGCACACACCTCGTTTTCTTCTACGTATAATTTCACTTCCATACATTGATCGATACATTGTTCAATGAACTATTTTACTCTCTAAATGGCATATTTTTTTCTCTCTTTAGGAGAAGAACGAGGAGATTATGAGACTGGAAGACTTGATGCAGAGACTAGAGAACCAGATGCAGGCAGAGATCGATATGCAGGTAAAGGTTTAGATAATGGCAGGTGAGTTGTTAGATTGATTCACGCTGAAGGCGCGTGTGCACGTGAGCTTTACTCACGTTATGTAATGGTCTTACACGTATGCCCGGTATACGTGTTATTTTCTTACACGTAGCCCGATATACGGTATGTAATTGTCTTACACGTATGCCCGATATACGGTGTTATTTTCTTGCACGTAGGCCCGATATACGGAATGCAATTGTCGGGGGTTTATACGTGCGCAGTACTAAATGTATGTTTTTGTATGGGGCATATATGTGCGCAGTATTAAAGGTATGTCACTGTCTGGCGATTGCACGTGCTCAGTATTTACGGTACACAGTTGTATGCTGAGTAAGGGTGAGTAAGATGCTCGATATCTATAGCATGTGTTGAGAAGTCGAGTGTAAGATGTTCTCAAAACAATATTAATTGTTCACAAACATATGCACATATGCAAAGTGTATTGCAGTTTACATGTTAGCAGTGTTTCTTCCAGACTTTTTCTCCGAGGGGGGGGGGGGGGGGCACTTAATATTTAGGGGGGGGGGGGGAGGCGGTCAACATGTTCCGGTGGGGCGGACACTGGTAAAAGTATGTGTTTTCTATATAAATCCCCCCCTGAAGAGATGCCTGGAAGAAACTCTGCATGTAAGGAAAACTAGTCGTAGAATCTTAACATGCATAACACGAAAGGATGAGGCTCAACAGCTGGGGACAGCAACTCATCTAGGAAAGACAACTCCAAAATCAAACAACTGCTGCCTTGTAGTTTGTTCTTAATTGGACAAAGACTATGGAAGAAAGTCCGAAAAGAAAAGCAGGCTGAAATTAGAGCCAACGGCCTATATTACCCATAATTTGCTGATACGTAATACATAATTTTTGAAGGAAAACCCGTCCAACATTACAATTATCATAAGGAAGAATTAGAAAAATAACACAAACGACAAATACATTGTAACTTTCATTGCACTGAAAACTGTTACCTAGCATAATCAAAACTGCTAATTTTAATAACTCTAATTAGGTGCGCGAGGCAGTACATAATGAGAGGGCCCTCGCTGAACAAGAGAACGATCATAGAGCGCGACTTGAACAGGAGGAGAGAACTCATAGGGAATGTGAACTGACAACTCAGATTCAGAGAGAGAAACAGCTCAATCAAGCACTGCAAGGGGAGATAACGAATTATAAGAAAGTAAGTTGATTTATTACAGTTACTTCCCTTGATTTAAAAAAAAAAAATTTGGTCTTTGAACATTTTGTGCTAGGCTTATGTTGAATAGTTGTTTAAGGGTAAACAGCACATCACAACCCATTTTTAACACAACATTAAATCTAAAAAAGTCTCCAATAGAAGCCAGCGTTGAGAAAACTGGCAGTTGTAATACCTCTCTCAATAAGCCACATGTTAATTAGACAACATAATATGTATTTATTATTAAATTATAAAAACAATCAATATCTTACCAAAAAAGGGATAGGGCTATTTATCAAAGTATATATAATTTATTTTTTTAAATCCCCCCCCCCCCCTCGAAATTCTCAGTGTCGAATCTGATGGTTTTATCGATAATCTGAGAAAATGTAATATGCGAGTATACGATGCTTGTGTGATACTAGGAGATTTTCATCGCATAAAACACTAAAGCTAGTCCCTAACTTCTCCCATAACACTTCTTCTTAAAGGCTACTATTTTTTATATTTCTTTTTCTTTCTAGCCTCAGGTAATCTAGCCCAGCCTACTTCCTATACCACTACCCTCTCCACCAAACCCCAACCTATCTAGCCCAACCTACTTCCTATCCCACCACCCTCTCCACCAAACCCCAACCTATCTAGCCCAACCTACTTCCTATCCCACTACCTTTTCCACCAAACCCCAACCTATCTAGCCCAACCTACTTCCTATCCCACCACCCTCTCCACCAAACCCCAACCTATCTAGCCCAACCTACTTCCTATCCCACTACCTTCTCCACCAAACCCCAACCTATCTAGCCCAACCTACTTCCTATCCCACCACCCTCACTACCAAACCCCAACCTATCTAGCCCAACCTACTTCCTATCTCACTACCCTCTCTACCAAACCCCAACCTATCTAGCCCAACCTACTTCCTATCTCACTACCCTCTCTATCAAACCCCAACCTATCTAGACCAACCTACTTCCTATCCCACCACCCTCTCCACCAAACCCCAACCTATCTAGCCCAACCTACTTCCTATCCCACCACCCTCTCTACCAAACCCCAACCTATCTAGCCCAACCTACTTCCTATCTCACTACCCTCTCTACCAAACCCCAACCTATCTAGCCCAACCTACTTCCTATCTCACTACCCTCTCTATCAAACCCCAACCTATCTAGACCAACCTACTTCCTATCCCACCACCCTCTCCACCAAACCTCAACCTATCTAGCCCAACCTACTTCCTATCCCACTACCCTCTCTACCAAACTTCAACCTATCTAGCCCAACCTACTCACTATCCCACTACCCTCTCTACCAAACCCCAACTTATCTAGCCCAATCTACTTTCTATCCAATAACCCTCTCTACCAAATCATCAACCTATCTAGCCCAACCTACTTCCTATCCCACTACTCTAACAAACCCCAACCTATCTAGCCCAACCTACTTCCTATCCCACTACCCTCTCCACCAAACCCCAACCTATCTAGCCCAACCTGTCTTCCTATCCCACCACCCTCTCCACCAAACCCCAACCTATCTAGCCCAACCTACCCTTATCCCATAACCCTCTCCCTATTCCAATAACTTTCAAATCGCAGCCCCTCGCAATCTCTACCCCTCCCCCTCGTTCTTATCCCCCCCCCCCCCCCCCGACCCTGCCGTCAGCCCCACCAACCAATCAAACAATCCCATAAACGCCAACCTTAATTTTAATGATCTCCAACTCTGACAAGGCCCAAAACTCTTCCCGTCTACGCCGCCAGATTTACTGCCCCTTATCTTTTAAGCTCTATCATTAAAAGTCATGCACACACAAAGACAAGAGTCGATATCGCAATGATTTTCTACGGGCACAGATTTGTCACTTAATAAACATTGCTTGCTACAACATAACCGAAATCAGGGATTCTCAATCTCCCTTCACTAGACTCTTTTGTTTCTACATGTTTTTAAGTAACCGGTACGTTGAAATAAAAAAAAAATAATGAAAATATACAACGTTAATGATTACTATACCATCGAATAAAAGAATTGCGTTAATTTTAAGAATGCTGGATTGGATGTGAAAGTGATGTTTTTTTTAGATCCGCTGCTTTGAAGATAAAGAATTTGTATTCCTCGTTTGTTTAATCAGGATTAGGTAGTGAAGTTACTGGATTTAACAAGCCAAATAAAACGTATCTAGTGTGTAGTGTGTTACGGGTATGGGGCGCTCACACAGTCGTAAGTGTGACACATGTAGGCCCGTGTAGTGTGTTCCATAATAGTTGCTACATATGCTTCGTCTGTTGGAATATACAGGAACTTATTGTTCTGATGTGTTACATTATAGGAGCTAAAAGAGTCGTGTGTTTTTACATGCGTTGGCCTGTGTAATGTGTTAAAATTTGTAGGAGTTAAATGCGTGTATTGTGTTGCAAGCACATATTCTTACTGCTGTAATTTTTTAAATTATGTAGCTTAATGTGTCATATCTGCTACTCTCTACGATCTTAATGTGTGTATTATGCTATACTATTAGCGCTTATTGTTCTGACGTGTTACATTATATGAGCTTAAAGCGTTGTGATACATGTATGCGAGCTTAATATGAACAACCCACAAGCTGTTACATTTTTATTTACATACGAACCATATTCAAAAGCTATCAGACTTGCAAAGAGAATACGTTTTTTTCTAACGCACAATTCGGTGTGTTTGTTCATTCTGAACCCAGTACCCCATGCACACAATAGATGTGTAGTTCCAGAACTTTGAAAACCTGTTGTGAGTTAATAGGCTTGTTAGTGCACAGTCAGTCCATTTACATAACAGTTTACATACAGTTTACACCGTAGGATCTGGTCAGTCCATTTACATAACACTATACATACAATTTACTCTGTGGCATCTAGACATTGATGTAGAGTTATGTTTTTAACACCCACGTTTACATAATCGTGTCTAGAAACTGTATCTAGACTATAGCCACTAGCACAAGTTTTACATAGACGCGTCTAGAAATTATACTTATACCAACACTGGAGTTACTAGCACCCAGTTTTACATAGACGTGTCTAGAAACTCTACCTACTGGAGTTCCTAGTAACCAGTTGTATAGAGAATCTACTAGCACACATGTGCTACTACTGACACATGTGTAACAGCTACCAGCACGGCGTTTAGGCACCTGACCATTAAACGATGGACCTGGATTATGACGTAATAACCAGAGCTCGGCTCCGGTTTTTGGACGCCTGTAATGAGGTAATTATCCGAACCGTTAATTGGGGGCATAATTTTAAACAATAACGTGTCTGCCTTAAGTGGTTGGTTAGAGATTCGACCTCGGTTGTATGTTGTTCTTGTCATTACCTGCGCTATGTGAGAAAGGGGACAGAATTGACGTTAATTCCTGACTCTCTGTGGTGGCCGAATAGATGGCCACACTAGGCTCTCGATATTCAAGTATTGGGTGGCCGGACAGACGGCCACACTAACCTCCCTACTCTCTGGCTGGACAGACGGCCGCACAAACATCCCTACTGTCTTGTATGAGGTGGCAGAATAGACGGCCACACTAACCTTCCTATTCTCTGGCCGGATAGACGGCCACAGTAACCTCCCTACTGTCTTGCAGGGGTTGATTGTAAAACTAATCTTCTGATCTGTCTTGAACTGTCTTAAAATTTAAAAAAAAAATCATTCTGGTATCAACAATAGGCCTACTCACTTAAAAAATACCCAATATTTGTTTTAACTTAAAGTAAGATCCAAACATAGAATTAACCTTTCTCTTAGCAAAGCTTTTAATAAAGAAGACATCATTAATCGTTATCTTCCCCATTCACCTCAGTGTAAGAGAAAACCATTTGCATTGCAAAATGTTAATGTACTCAATTGTATTAACATTAAAAACAAAAATAACTACTTTTTTAACTAACACAATATCCGTTTCATGTGTTCCCAAGGAGCTGGAAGAACAAAGACGACAACAAAGAGAAGCGAACAAAGAGAAGCTGCTGGCCGTGTCTAGAACAAAGGAACAAATGAAGCAACAAAGCAGTGCGGAGATTGAGCGGATTAAATTTAATCTGAGTCAGGTGAGTTCAGTGCTCACCTTTATTGTGGGCTTCTACATGGGTTATAGTGAACGTTTATTGTGGCCTTCTTCATGGGTTACAGTAGACGCTTATGAAATAGGCCTACTCATCATACACAATATACCATCATGCAATAGTTATCTTGCTATTTTTAACTAAGAGTGTTGGGTCACCTTATTATACTTACCTTTCAAATGCTACCTTACAACACCTACCTTACAGCACCTACTTTACAACACCTACCTTACAACACCTACCTTACAACACTTATCTTACATTTGTTACCTTACAATACTTACTTTAAAAGTGCTATCTTACACCACTAACCTAACCTACAATACTTACCTTACACTACTTACCTTAAAAGTGTTACCTTACATTACTTACCTTACAAAACCTCCGTTACAACACTTACTTTACAACACCTACCTTTCAAATGTTACATTACACCGCTTACTTTACAAATGCTGACCTTACCACCCTACAGGACCACGAAGAGACCACCAACCACCTAAGAGAACAGCTACGTTACCAGGAGGCCGAGCTGATCTCACTCAACACGGAGAAGGAGGCGGCAGTAGAGAGGGAGAGGAAACTTCTCCAGGTAAACTTGACCACACTCTGCTATTTAAGTGGTGGGGGAGGGAAGGGGACGACATGGTCGCATAGGAGAGCTCATGGCTACTAACTCCAAAAGTCACGAGTTCGCCTCCCCCCCCCCCCCCCCCTCAGGGTGATGTAGCTGGGTACATCAACACATCTGGAAAAGACAACTCCAAAATCAAACAACTGCTGTCTTGTAGTTTGCTCTTGGGTGGACAAAAGCTATGGAAAAAAATTCAGAAAAAACGCAGGCTGAAATTTGAGTCGACGTGTCAAATGGCGCATAACAAGTTTGCACGTAATACTTAATTGTGATGGGGGAAATTCCGTCCAACGTGGTCCCTTTGAGTAGTTAAACTTACAAAATTTTCAGTAAATCAGTTTTTGTTTTAATTTTAATAACATTATTAAAATGAATAAAGAAAATGTAAATTCCATTAAAGCTTATATTGAAAGTATAATCGTCATAATTGAAACTGATTATCAAAGAATAACATCTGGAAAACAACTATTTTTCTCTCAGACTTTAGAGCACATTGAAAGAACGACAACCCAGGGAATTAATGAAGAATGCCAGAAGTTGTCGTCCCTGTTGGGTATCTCTCCGGATTTGTTACAAAACACAAGGTCTGGTCTGTTTCACCTACACTTTGTAGTCCTATCGTTCTCCTTATGTTCGGACATAAGGAACTCAAAAACTTTTATGCCATATACCTGTCTTTAATCACGCAGATAGCGAAAGAAATGTAGAAGTTACAATTTTGCAATCCCATCTAACAACTCGATGTAATCCTTCCCCCAACCCAACCACTCGCAGTCTAACCTAATTTCAGTATGGCTACCACTTGCAGGCTGACCAAGGGTCTAATGCTGAAGTACAGAACTCTCGATCCCGAGGGTTAGCAAGAACCTCTACTGCAGTAGAGTTTACTAAACAAATTTGTAAATTGCTCAATACAAGTGTAAAGCAATTAATATTTCTTGTCTCATTTTAAAATTCTCTAGCACTTAAATATTGATTCCACCTATTTTCGCAGCAAGGGATATATGTATATATATATATAAATATATATACATATATATATATATATATAAATATATACATTTATATATATATATATATATATATATATATACTCAAATCATGTGTTAATGTCATAGAATTTTTATTCTGACAAATCGGAAACTTGTGTAAGAAATATAATGATATGATTTCTGATAGTAATTGTAAATCTTTCAGCCATCACGCCGATCCAGGAGATTCATTGACCAGCTCAACCAACAGATCCATCCCTGCCATCAACACTGCTATAGTAAGTTGTTGTTCTTTGATTTCCTTGATTTTAACTCTCACACACAATAGAACTTTAATATTAATCAAATAATCTAAATGCATGTTTAGGATCTCCTTTAGATTTAGATTTAGGTATTTGAAATTTTACTAAAGGCAAAATTAATATTACTCATATTATATAAAATATATAAATATTTCGCAGAAAGAGTTCGTACGCAATGCACCTCACACCTAATATATGTCTAAGTTAGTCAAGGTCTGACTACGAATTTTGTATCACATTTCCCTTACTCAAGCTAGCCTAAAGCTATGTAACAACGAATTATATATTTCCTTTACCCAGGCTAACCTACGTTCATGTAACAACGAACTTCACGGCTACGTGTTTGAACTACGCCAGGAGTTGGAGGCTCTAAAAGATATGGTGGAGAGGACAGTCCAGGAGAAGGTGAGGGCTTGTTTCTGTAGATACAATTACATTTTGCTCTTTTACTTGGATTTCCATTCTAATCAACTGCTGTGGGTGTTAAGTCATTTCTCAAATATGACTAACATAGAGGTATTGTCAGAATAGCGACATAACAAGCGGATGTTTGGAGTTAAATTTTCTGCAACCGAAAAACTATAATGTAGTAGCTGATTGCCATATAAACAACAGCTGTGGATTTAATTAATTTCACAAACAGAGGTATAGGCATATTGGGGAAATAGCAAGCGGATATTCTGTAGTTAAATATCCTGCTACCGAAAAACTATAATCTATTGACTTTGTATGGTGAAATATGTTATAGCAAAAAAACGTTTATTTTATAATTCCCCCCCCCCCCCACGACATGGTTTAATGGATGTTTTATGTCGTGTAGGACGAGGCTGTGGAGAACTACAGACTAGAGATGGAAAAACAAAAGACGCTGGACTTAGAGAAAATTAAAGAAAAGTTACTGCAGGTAGTGTTTACAATTTTTATCGTTAGTTCATTGAGACAAGAATAATTACTTGTTATGGCTCTGCGTCGAATCCACCAAAAACATTTGCTCGAGGGTGTTTTCCCGAATGGGACAAATACCCGAATAGATGTTTATCCCGAATGGGACACATGTCGAAATGGATGTTCATTTGAATTGGATAAATGCGCGAATAGATGTTTGTCCGATTGGGACAAGACAACTGTCCGAATGAACATTTGCCCGAATACGACACATCTCCGATAGGATATTTGCCCGATTTTTTAAAAAATGTAAAAAAATTTTTTTTTTTATATCAAAGTTTAAAAAAAAATTCCGATAGAACGATTAAGAATTCACAGTTCCTCACGAATGAACACCAACTAAATTCACTTTTCTCCAGGAGCACGTTCAGGAAATGAACAAAGTCATCCGCGACTGCGCCGAGGCCAACTCCCAACTAAAGACCAACCGCGACTACCTACAGAGGTACGGGGACGCCGCCCTGCTAGAGGCTCTACAGGCTAAAGACGATGAACTACACATACTGCAGCAGTCTATGACACAGTGGAGGGCGGAGATTGAGGAGAAGTTGCACACAAAGCTTCAGCTACAGATGGCCAAGGAAAGAGAAAAGTATTGGCTTTTGTTCAGTTTTATTTAATTTTGGCCAAGGAAAGAGAAAAGTATTGGCTTTTGTTCAGTTTTATTTAATTTTGGCCAAGGAAAGAGAAAAGTATTGGCTTTTGTTCAGTTTTATTTAATTTTGGCCAAGGAAAGAGAAAAGTATTGGCTTTTGTTCAATTTTATTTAATTTTGGCCAAGGAAAGAGAAAAGTATTGGCTTTTGTTTAATTCTATTTAATTTTGGCCAAGGAAAGAGAAAAGTATTGGCTTTTGTTCAGTTTTATTTAATTTTGGCCAAGGAAAGAGAAAAGTATTGGCTTTTGTTCAGTTTTATTTAATTTTGGCCAAGGAAAGAGAAAAGTATTGGCTTTTGTTCAGTTTTATTTAATTTTGGCCAAGGAAAGAGAAAAGTATTGGCTTTTGTTCAGTTTTATTTAATTTTGGCCAAGGAAAGAGAAAAGTATTGGCTTTTGTTCAATTTTATTTAATTTTGGCCAAGGAAAGAGAAAAGTATTGGCTTTTGTTCAGTTTTATTTAATTTTGGCCAAGGAAAGAGAAAAGTATTGGCTTTTGTTCAATTTTATTTAATTTTGGCCAAGGAAAGAGAAAAGTATTGGCTTTTGTTCAATTTTATTTAATTTTGGCCAAGGAAAGAGAAAAGTATTGGCTTTTGTTTAATTCTATTTAATTTTGGCCAAGGAAAGAGAAAAGTATTGGCTTTTGTTCAGTTTTATTTAATTTTGGCCAAGGAAAGAGAAAAGTATTGGCTTTTGTTCAGTTTTATTTAATTTTGGCCAAGGAAAGAGAAAAGTATTGGCTTTTGTTCAGTTTTATTTAATTTTGGCCAAGGAAAGAGAAAAGTATTGGCTTTTGTTCAGTTTTATTTAATTTTGGCCAAGGAAAGAGAAAAGTATTGGCTTTTGTTCAATTTTATTTAATTTTGGCTAAGGAAAGAGAAAAGTATAGGCTTTTGTTCAATTTTATTTAGTTTTGGCTAAGGAAAGAGAAAAGTATGGGCTTTTGTTCAATTTTATTTAGTTTTGGCTAAGGAAAGAGAAAAGTATGGGCTTTTGTTTAATTATACTTTATTGTTGCCAAGGAAAGAGAAAAGTATTGGCTTTTTGTTTAATTTTATTTAGTTTTGGCTAAGGAAAGAGAAAAGTATGGGCTTTTTGTTTAATTTTATTTAGTTTTGGCTAAAGAAAGAGAAAAGTATTGGCTTTTTGTTTAATTTTATTTAGTTTTGGCTAAGGAAAGAGAAAAGTATTGGCTTTTGTTCAATTTTATTTAGTTTTGGCCAAGGAAAGAGAAAAGTATTGGCTTTTGTTCAATTTTATTTAATTTTGGCCAAGGAAAGAGAAAAGTATGGGCTTTTGTTTAATTTTATTTAATTGTTACCAAAGAAAGAGAAAAGTATTGGCTTTTTGTTCAATTTTATTTTATTGTTGCCAAAGAAAGAGAAAAGTATTAGCTGTATTTTTAGCGTATTCACGTACGGCTTAGGAAACAAAAGTATTAGCTTTTCTTTAATTTTATTTACGTGTGGCTAATCATAGAAAAAAGTTTTTTCTATTTAACTGTATTTAACTATGGTTAAAAACAGACAATTTTTAGTTTTTATTTACTTTTATATATTTGGATAAGGAAAGAGAAAAATAACCTTTTTTTAAATTTTATTTTATAAATTTAGTTAAAATACGCTTTTGTCATAGGAAGAAGAGAGGTAATATCCTTAAATTTATTTCGCAATGTTAATTAACAGACAACTGTTTATAAGGAGTTAGTAAAGTATTTGCTTTTCTTACATTTATTTTATTTTGTTAATGAAATCACACAGTTATAATAGAAAGTGCTGGTCTTATTTGATTTATGTTTAAAATACAATGACATAAAATTGATGGAAGTTGCGCACTTTGGTTAATTGTATCATTGATAGAAGGCAGTTTTAACTTTCTCGTATGCAAAGTATAGAGGGAGTATTGTAAGCTTGCCCTTAGTCGGAAAAACATAGTTTTGCAATTGTGTCCGTATGTCTGTGTGTTTATGTATGTGTGTGTGTATGTGGTTCTGTGGACACGATAAGTTGAGTATCTTTACAGCTAGTTTGAAGAAATTTCATAATAAATTATTAGATCAAATTTGTAGTTCTGTATCAACTTTTCAGCGGTTTCTGGGAAACGGAAGTGGAACTTATTCTACTTTTAATTTTTCAAAAGCCTATAACTCGAGTAGGCCTACTGCTTCAGATAGATTTATAAAAATTTCACATGTAGGTAAAAGATCTGATTCTCTGCCTTCTGTCAAATTTTAAGTAATATCCATTGATCAGAAGAAGTAATTTACGCTGTTTCCAATTTACCACCAAAAAAAAAACGAATTTGTATTGATAAAGTACTAATAATATTTCGCACAATTATACACATATTGTTTTGCATTCACTTGGTCCGCAATTATTTTTTCTACGAGATTCTATTCAATTTTAAAAAGTTTAAGGAATTGAAAATGGATTAAAAATCATGTCTATATCGGATATCCCGAGTTGCAATCGAGAAAGTTAAGGGGAGGTCACTCCCGGTTTATTTAAAAATGTTGGCATCTTTGACTCATATCTTTAGTTTTGTGTTAAAGTCCTTCTTTTTCTCTTGTGTCAACAAGTTTAAAATATTGTTTCATGTGAAATTCAATTCCTATTTCCTGCCCATTTCTGAAATTCCATTTTAAATCCCAACCAATATCGAAAATTCCATTTTAATACACTATCAATATCTGAAATTCCATTTTAATTTCCTGTCAATATCTTATATCACATTTTATTAAGTTTCTAACAATGTATTCGTTCCTTCAATATTAGATCTTAACACATGTTTAATTCTTGACTTAGAAATTCACTTAGGGTTAAAACAAATGACGATAGACTATGACTTAAGTATACTGGTATTTGGTTTACTAGTTTGCCTACGTCCAAAACATGCAATAACAAACATTTCTATAAATGTCAGAAACTGTTCTCTAAATGTCACAAACTGTTCTCTAAATGTCACAAACTATTCTCTACATGTCACAAAGTTTTCTCTAAATGTCTCAAAGTTTTCTCTTAATGTCACATACTGTTCTCTAAATGTCTCAAAGTTTTCTCTAAATGTCACATACTGTTCTCTAAATGTCACAAACTCTTGTATAAATGTCATAAACTGTTCTCTAAATGTCTCAAAGTTTTCTCTAAATGTCACATACTGTTCTCTCTATGTCACATACTGTTCTATAAATGTCACATACTGTTCTCTCTATGTCACATACTGTTCTATAAATGTCACAAACTGTTCTCTCAATGTCGCAGGTACCAAGCCCTCCAGCACCACGCCACACGGGAACAAAAACGAATCAGCGACTTGCAGAAGCGAGAAATCGAACGTCTTGAGAAGGAGGTCCAGCATCTGGCTATGGTGGGTTTCTTTCCTGTCTTTGTGTGCAATTATTCAAAAAACTATGCGTTTTTACATTTTCTTAATTAAAAACGAATGCCGAAAGATATAAACTATCGACACTTTTATTTTAAAGTATGTATTCATATTGAAGCTAATTTTAAATAAAATCATACGATTTTTTAAAAATAAATTAAAAAATAAATAAATAAAATATAAATATTGTGAGACATTGTGTAATCTAAAGCTATTAGGATTTCGATTCCTGTTGGTCAAATTATACACGCATCTTTGAGATATTCAACAAGTTTACGCTAAAACCTGCCTATAATGTCTTCAATAAAAAAAGTTACCTGTCTACCCTGTATTTTATAAATTCTATATGATAGATTCATTATTTCTAGCTATTAACTTTAAATATTTTACTAGACATATCTAAAATAGGAAAGACTTCATAGATCTTCAGGATATCTTTCACTATACCTAATTTAACAAACTCTTTCACACGATATATAGTAAAAGCCTTGAAAATTATTCAACATGTAAACTGTCCCGTCTCAATAAACTGTCTTCTTTGTTTTTCAGACTCCCAATAATGCGTCCCTCCCACCACGCCCGCCCCCTCACACTGCCCAAATCTCCATCAGCGCCACTGCCTCCGTCCCATCCTCCCCTACCCCGAGTTCAAACCTCAAATCATCCCAGCAATATCTTCAGACTCCAACATCGAATCTGAAGCCCTACACTCATTGCACCCCAACTTCGAACCTCAAAACCTCCAGCCAGTACCCTCAGACTTCGAACCTGAAGTCTTCGACCTCGTATCCACAGACTTCGAACCTGAAGTCTTCGACTCAGTATCCTCAGACTTCGAACCTGAAGTCTTCGACTCAGTATCCTCAGACTTCGAACCTGAAGTCTTCGACTCAGTACCCTCAGACTTCGAACCTTAAGTCCTCCCAGCAGTACCTCCAGAATCGGATCCAGCAGTTGCAGGAAGAGAACTCCTCCCTCCGCAAACAGAGACTTCTGGCATCGAGTCACCTTAACCTTTCCACACCCAACCTGGCTAGCACTAAATCTGTTAGTCTTTTATTATACAGTTGTATTCACTTGATAAAGAATAAATATTTAGAATAATATTTAAAATATTATAAATGAATATAAAGCATGTAACGTAACATCTATACAAAGTTGGCTATTTTAATAAAAGTATATATATATATATATATATATATATATATATATATATATATATATATATATATATATATATATATATATATATGTGTGTGTGTGTGTGTGTGTGTGTGTGTTTATATTAGCACCAGTATAAAAAATGTATTCTATCGATTATAAAAAGCAGTGTTAATATATTAACAAATAATATTAGCAATTTTGTAAAGTAGTATTAATTTATTAACTTATAACTGATAGGGCATCTTTATTAAATAGCTTCAATAAAGCAGCATATGTATTGTAGCACCACTGTATTCTAGTATCTTTATAAAGTAATATAAACTAGAATTTATATCAAGTAGCATCTTTTTAAAGTATCAAATGTACCAACTAACAACTACGTTTAGTAAAACTCATATCACATAAAATTCGATATAAAGTAGATTTGAGTTTACAAAATTATTTTTAAAAAATTAGCAGCCCCTATATTATTACTTCGAGTTTGCTGTGCCACTGTATAGTTTAGGGACCACTTCGAACTATTGTAGACACAAATATGATTTACTACCCTTGTATATCGTTTGTAAGTAATGCCACTGTATAGTGTAGGGACCAACTGGAATGATTGTGTAGACAAATATGATTTACTTCCCTTAGAACAAATATGGTTTACTTAGCTTAGAACAAATATGGATTATTTCCCTTAGATATTATATGTCAGCAGTGCCCCTGTATAGTGTAGGGACCAACTCGAATGATTGTATACACAAATATGATTTACTTCCCTTAGAACAAATATGATTTACTTCCCTTAACACAAATATGATTTACTTCCCTTAACACAAATATGGTTTACTTCCCTTAGAACAAATATGATTTACTTCCCTTATAACAAATATGATTTACTTCCCTTAGAACAAACATGACTTACTTCCCTTAGAACAAATACGCTTTACTTCCCTTAGATATCAACCCCCGACCGCAGTCGTTCCCCTACACGGGACCCTAAAGTGATGCTACGGCTAGGGGAGAGAATCCGTCAAGGGGAGAAAGACGCTCTCAAGGCTGAAGAGTCAGCCAAGCTGAACCAGAAGATCTTGAACAACAAGATGAAGGAGATGGCCAAGCTACAGAACACGTTAATCAATCAAAACCAGGTACGGTGGTTTTAAGCTGATGGTGTAAGTAAAAAGTTGAATTAAATTTATCATGAACGTCGTTGGGTTGGGTATCACTCTATGTGGATATTGAGGAGGTCACCACAACAGTGCTTCTTTTAAGGTTTTTTCTCCGTTTCGAGGGGGGGGGCACTTGAAATGTTGGTAGGGTGGGGGTGGCAGACTGTATTTTCCGGGGAAGAGGGAGCAAATACTGGAAAAGGTTTATATTCTCTATATAAATTATATTTTGTTCGATAGGGGTGGGGGGGGGGGGGGGGGGGTAAGCGAAGAGATTGTGATATGAAATGAGCCCCCAACAATTTAGCTTAATTGGTTTAGTGTCACCTACTAGTATATTACTTAAATGGTGCCCCCATCTTTTGATGCTACTGACAGTTTGGTCTATTTTGATTCTTGTAAAAAAAATATTACTGTGATTCAATTTACAAATATCTAAATCTTAATCTATACAAACTACAACCTTTATGGCACCAAAAACGGTAAAAAAATTTACTCAGATACCGACTTAACCTGTCGATACTAATCACATATTCCAGGGTTTCAATTTCAAATATACACAATCGGCATGTCACAGAATTTTCTTGTAGACCTATATATGTGACACGTTTTTCATTTTCACAGGTTCCTTAATTTCTTACTTCTCGTTTACTTCTATTGTTTACTTCTATTGTTTACTTCTATTGTTTACTTTTATTGTTTACTTCTATTGTTTACTTCTATTGTTTACCTCTATTGGTTACCTCTATTGTTTACCTCTATTGTTTACCTCTATTGTTTACCTCTGTTGTTTACCTCTATTGTTTACTTTTCTTCGTGCAGGAACTCCAGGAATTAGAAAGAGCTTACAACGACTTACACAAGCACTACAACAGCCGACCCTGTTCCCCTACAAGGAACATCAACTCAAGATCAAGTTCCCCTACAAGGAACCTCAATTCCCGCCCCAGTTCCCCAGCAAGAAATCTCAGTTCCACTGCCTAACAGTATTCCACTAGGTTAAAAATATCTTAAGCCACTTTTTTTCAAAACAACTGGTGCTGTGATCAATGTTTTTATACAACACTCATTTAATAATTTTTTTAATGAACGGACTAGATATGTAACACATTTGAAAGACTGATGTATTATTTACGCTGTAATGCGATGAAAGATTTCTTAAAACATGTTTTATGTCTGTTAATTCAATGCAAACTAGAACAATCTAGCTGTGATAATATCTGAATCCATCCGTTGATATTTTAAATAGTATATATTTTTAAAATTTATCTTTCTTTACAAACCGTCCACACTCAAATAAGCTCATGTGAATGTGATGTTATTTAATGTGTGATGTTACATTTACATTGTGTATAAGTATTACTATAAATTATATTAATTATGTTATATTTCATATATATATATATATATATATATATATATATATATATATATATATATATATATATATATATATCCCCATCCCCGTAGCCTAACTCCTTATGCCATACTTTGAGTTTGTGAAATTACGACATATAAATAGAATTAAAATGCGTGCTGAACAATCTAGGTAAGAAGTGCATTGGCTTCATAAATTAAAACATTTCTGACAAAGAAAATATTAAATTTTTCAATCCACTAAAATCAAATTATTCGCTAATTAACTAATTATTTAATGTCTTGTTCATGTTATGTTAATGCATCTATTAATTTGTGTTAATATTCTTTGCCATAGGACTAATGACTATTGTTTTATTGGAAATAATAAGATAAGTAAATTATTTACCTCTGTATCTTGACCTATCAACAACACCCTTTCCATGTTTTAAAATAAATTACATGCAACTCATCTCATTACAATTTTTTTTTAAATAGGTCATTGTCAAATTGTAGTGCATATGAATGTTTTAATTCTGTATTTTAAACTTTTTTAAGTTTGATATAGTAGATACAAGTTCGATTTAACCCTAATTATGAAAGTGATGCAAATTTTGTGTTATATTAACTCTGATTCTAATTTTGTATGTAAAACTTGTATTGTTTTTTATTTAACTTTATCACCCAGACAATCATTGAAATGTTTAAGTATTGAGCAGTTACATATAATACTTTACTCTTTCTATATTGTAGTAGTTTAGTTTGCAAGGATAGAAAGACATATAGCACAGTAGTTGTTATTGACTGATCCTTTTTAGTAAGGTGTTTCATTGTGTGTTTATTGATGTGTTTTATGGTGTGTTTAATTGTGTGTTTAATGGTGTTTTTAATTGTAGTCATGTTTAGTCTTTTACCCAATGGTTAGAGTTATGAGTAAACAGTATCCGATTTGTTTGTTTATGTTATATTACCTAATCGTATGGAACAAGGATAGAGTCTAGATGACATCAAGACCCTGACTACTTTTTGTTTTCACTTTTTTTTAAACCACCCCCACCCCCCACCCCCGAGTTTACTTTCTCTTCAATCACACACACACACACAAACATACTAACACACACGGCAAGTACATACACACATACTCACACACCTACACTGCCTAGTACAGATATTTTAGTCTACATCTGGTATGAAACTATCCTTTTTTACTTACAGATGTCTGAATCCATTTATGAAAAAAATATACGTCAGATTTAATAAACTGCATTTTTTTTTAAATAAAAGGAATTTTCAGATACGTAGGAAATGTGTGACGTAGCAGTCACATTGAGGTTTTCAAGTTTAGCCTAGGGCAGGGGTCGGCAACCTGCGGCTCGCGAGCTGCATGCGGCTCTTTTGATATCAAGATGCGGCTCTCCAGCTCCTTGCACAAATACTAATAATCTTAATAAAAAAAATAATATTTGAAATAAAAAAATGTTAGTGGCTCTTTAAAACCAGGGAAATTTTTGAAAATTGTAACTTTTGGCTCTTCCGCTTCAAAAGGTTGCCGACCCCTGGCCTAGGGTAGCATCACATACCAAGATAATTTTAGTCTCAGCAGAAGCATTAAATACAAAAAAAAAAGTTGCGATATTACTGTGAACATTGAGAACCACTCACACTCTGTTTAAAAAAAAAAAGTTGCTGTTTAATAATTTTCGAAGAAAAGTAAAGAAATAATTTGTAATGTTTCAATATACAAATGTAATCTATTGCTATACCAAACCGCTAATATTTTATAACTATAAACAGTATTAATCTGTATACTTGTGTGACCATTAAACCAATACTCAAACAGAAGAATTTGATTTTGTTATTTTGTTTATTGTAGGTAAATATGTGTCCTGCTATAAATGATGCTATCTGCTGTTTACGTGAGCAATAGTGGGAGGGGGGGGGGTCTTTTGTCTAAGTACAACATTGGTTAGTGACTAGACATATCCGAGCAACTCTCAGATACAATTCGTGTTATTTAATTAAACATTTCCCTTATTTCTTTACATAGGACTATTTGTTGATTGTGTTAAGGGATGGAACAGCTTCTTTTTGTGGAAGAATATACGATCGCTAATCATAAAGTCCCTAGTTCGGATCCTGTATCCGTAGGACGTTTCAGGGTCTGTCGCTCTCTGAAGCAAAGTTAGCTGGTCTAACTGTTGACCACTCATTTCCCCTTAAAGAAAATGTGTTAAAACAGCTTAACTTTAAACTCCAATAAGCCAATATCAACCCGGAAAGTTGTTCTTTTTTCAGTTTTTCTGTTCAATCAGGGATTTGGAACTATTTGGTCGTAACTTTTAGAAATGCCTGTTCGTGGCCAAGACGCATCGGGCAGATGAAGAAGAGTTCAGTTGTTTCAGATTACCTTGACATATAAATAAAAAGGAAAAGTGTCGTCAGCACTATGCTCAGCCGCCTTTGTTTTCCTTAACGTGAGTTAGGGTGGACTCAAGATAATTCTATTTGAATCCGTATTCGAACTCGAGACTTTCAGGTTAACAGCCAAGCTCCCTACCCGTAGACCATTCGTTTAACAACACCTGCAACACATAGATTTAAGAAGTCGATGTCGGAATACCTAGACCTGCGGTTCTTAACCTTTTTGGGGGTACCGAACCCCACCACTTTCACAAGCGCATTTACCGAACCCTTCTTAATGGTTTTATTGTCCGCACTGAAAAACTTGAGGGGGGTGCAAATCGAAAGTTTGATGGGGGAAGGGGTGCAAATCGAAAGTTTGAGGGGGGTGCAAATCGAAAATTTGTCCCCGGGAAGGGTCACTACGCCTTTGGGGGAGGGGTGACACCATTAAGTCTCGCACCGGGTGACACACGACCTCGCTACGCCACTGCTTAATAGAATTCCTATTTACTTTTTAAATCAACCATTCATAGTTTCTTGTACACACCGCACCAAAAAAAGGTGTCTCGCACTTATTTAAAAACAGCGGAGAGAGGAAAGAATTTACGCAACTTAAAAACTGCACGGCAAAGCACTACACGTGAACAAACTGAACTCAGTGAGTTGAATCAGTTCTGCTGTTAGTTGGTAGAGTTTGAAACTGATTCGATTGAGAAAGAATGTCTGAGTTAAGATCTAAATCTATAAATTTAAACAAGGTAGTTTAATTATGGCTGTTTATAAATTCCTTGTAATGTAATCCAGCTTATTATATTAATAATTTTAGTTTGGTATAAACCCGAGTTGTAATTAGATCTAGGTCTTGAAAGTTTTTTGAATGGATGCCACCAAGTTGACGATAACCTTTCATCATATTGAATTGTTGACATGGATTTTAAAAAGTGCTTTTTTTTAGATTTTGCAATGAAAGCGACCCTAATAATACTAAAAATAATTCAGAGATTTAATATTTCTAGAATAAATGTTATAAAAGTTGCAAAACCGGAGAATCTAATTTTTTTTTTAGTTTAAGTAAGGCTACATTTCTATTTATTTTCATGAAGCCTAAGTTATAACCGATGTTTCTCTTTTGTAGGACAAACATTGATAATAAAGCAGGATGTCATCGTTTATGTTGCCATTACTACGTGAAAACCAAAATGTTCTTGCCTTTTTTTTTTAAATTGTTTTTAATTACTGAAAATACTAAAAAGTCAAATACATCCACTTTTTATTTAAGTCCGTTAAAAAAAAACAAGTCAGATTTTTATAACCATATTAATATTAATTACACCGTGCATGATTATAAAAAAATGTAATGGGCTTCTCGAATACCTTTGTGACTATTCTCGCTTGGGTCAATTGTGCATGCCCATTAATCCCGCATTTCTCTAAGTGTATTCATATTGTGATCTCATCAATGACTTTTCATCGTTGGAGGTTAAAATTAGTATCTGATAATTTGTTGAGGTGTAGAGTGGTCTTAGTCAGTGGCGTAGCGAGGTCGGGTGTCACCCGGTGCGGCACTTACTGGTGTCACCCCCCCCCCCCCAGAGGCGACCCTTCCCGGGGACAAACTTTCAAATTTTCGATTTGCACTCCCCCCCCCTCAAACTTTCGATTTGCACCCCACCCCTTAAAGTTTTTCTCTATATATTTTGCTATTTGTTGCCTTGGTGTCACCCCCCCCCTAAATGGTGTCACCCGTTGCGATCCGCACCCCCCGCCCCCCCCCCCTTCTCGCTACGCCTCTGGTCTTAGTTTCTTTCAGGTATCTTTTCTGGCGGAGGTTGGGGGACGAAAGTCTCGAGTTCGAATCTGGGTCTTAGTAAGTAGAGTGTTTCTGAGTCCACCCAGCTCTTATGGGTACCCAACTCGTGTTAGGCTGGTCTAAGTTAGTTGATCTTCCCAATGGATCGCTAGGTCTAAAGAGTATTCTTTTGTTTTATAGTGGGAGCGGTTTTGTTCAGGTTAGGATATAGTTTGGGTAAACAACAACATAAACATACACTCCAACATGTATAGTCGGGGAAATTAGTAACAAAAACAGGGGTCGGCGTGGTCGAGTCGGTTAAGCTCATGGTTGCTAAACCGAAAAGTCTCGAGTTCGAACCATCGGGTAGATGAAGCTCGTTAGAGGGGAAAAGCAGGCTGAAATCGGAGTCAATGGCCTCAATGGCGCATAACCAGTTGACACGTATCCTTAATTGTGATGGAGGCGTGGTCGATAAATTCAAAAAAATAAGTCTAGAGTTCAAACCCTCTGGCAGATAAGGCTCGATCACTTCCAACACTAAAAATTAAGAACGAAGAAGAAGAATTGACAAAAAATATTAAATCAAGAATTCATACTCATTAGCTTATTTTTTTTTTTTTTTTAATTTAATTGTTCTTTTTTATTCTTAATTTTAAATGTTGGAAGAGATTCCCTCCAACACAATTAAGTTATTACGAGTCAACTTGTTGTTTGCCATAGAGGCCATTGACTCCGATTTCAGTCTGTTTTTCTTTTTGGGTTTGCTTCTATAGTCTTTGTCCAACCAAGAACATACTACAAGGCAGCAGTTGTTTGATATTGGAATGATCACTCCGTAATAAGTGACTGTTACCAACTATCGAGCATAATCTGCCCGGGGGTTCAAACTCGATACTTTTCAGTTCAGCAACCATGTGTTCAACCCACCCGACCACTCCGACCTTTAAGTGTTGTTCGATTGTGGAGTTCATCACCCCAACTCGTGATTTTGGAGTTAGCAGCCATGAGTGTTACGTCCGAGTTAGTTTCAACTCAAGAACGACTCGTGTTTACGTTCATTACTTTTATTTGGTGTCACATATTCACATTACAGAGTAGCCCTCGTCCTAACCGCTACCAATTAACCGCTGTCCTCCCACAATCGTTCACTCGCGCTTTTATACCCGCATTCGACCCTGGGATAACAATACATAAGCACACCGGGGTTACTACACAGTAGGATAAACTCAACTCACACACGCACTCCCCCCACCCTAGTTCGAGACTATTCTAACCTATTCTAATCTGACCTTACAATGACCCGTAACAATGAGTTCTACAAGATTTGATTTGAGTTTTGTCTCCCAGAATAGCTATCGCCCCCTCATCTGTTCGGGGGTTCGAACCTTTTCTGTTTAGCAACTACGAGCTTTACCGACGTCATATGCACAACTCGACCACGCCGACCCCTTTTTTGTTGTTGTTCAAATCTTGATGTTTTCTCATCTAAACTAGATTGACGGCCAAGGAGGCACCATCAGTGAAATGTTCAGCAATGAAGAGAAAGTCAGGCACTACCCGGGAACTTACCGTTCCTTAGCAGTATCCACAGTAAGTAGTGTTACAGTAAAAGAAAATGTTCCCCACCTCTTCTAGATTATTTTCGTTTCATATGTATGTATGGCTTATATATACGTTTACAATTTGATGTTTTAGTTTTCTAGTTTATTATTTATCAATATGTATGTATGGCTAATAGATACTTCGACAATTTGATGTTTTAGTTTTCTAGTTTATTATTTATTAATATGTGTGTATGGCTAATAGATACTTTGACATACTGATGTTTTAGCTGTATAGCTTATTATCGTTACATATGGCTAATAGATACTCAGATAACGTGATGTATGTATTGCTAATAAATTGGCCTACTTTGACATTTGATGTTTTAGTTTTCTAGGTTTTTTTTATCTGTTCATATGTATGCATGGCTTATAGATGATTTGACAATTTGATGTTTTAGTTCTCTATTTTATTATCATTACATATGTATATATGGCTAACAGATACACCGATAACTTGATTTATATATGGCTAATAGATAGTTTGACAATTGATGTTTTAGTTTTCTAGCTTATAATCGGTTCATATGTATGTATGGCTACTAGATACTTGGATAATTTGATGTTTTAATTATCTATAGTTAGAACTATAGATACCTGTATGTACAGCTGATAACCAATAAGATAATTGGATGTTTTAATTACCTATAGTTAGAACTATAAATAGCCAATGAGATGATTGGATGTTTTAATTACCTGTAGTTAGAACTATAAATAGCCAATGAGATGATTGGATGTTTTAATTACCTATAGTTAGAACTATAAATAGCCAATGAGATGATTGGATGTTTTAGTTTGAGACGATGAGCAAGCCAGTGACAAATCCTGACGACGTGTTTGAACTGTACAAGGTCCTTGCTACTGGTCGGTATAGCGCGGTGAGTATTGTCTGGGTGGTTGTTGTGGGGTTTATTGGGAGGTGGGAGGTGGGGGAGAGAGGTGTGTGATGTGGGTAAGAAGTGGTGGACAGGTGTGTGGTGTTGGTAAGAAGTGGGTGTGGGAGGTGTGTGGTGTTGGTAAGAAGTGGGTGTGGGAGGTATGTGGTGTGGTTAAGAAGTGGGTGTGTGAGGTGTGTGGTGTGGGTAAGAAGTGGGTGTGGTGTTTATTGGGAGGTGGGAGGTGGGGGGAGAGAGGTGTGTTATGTGGGTAAGAAGTGGGTGTGAGAGGTGTGTGGTGTGGGTAAGAAGTGGGGGAAAGGTGTGTGGTGTGGGTAAGAAGTGGGTATGAGAGGTGTGTGGTGTGGGTAAGAAGTGGGTGTGTGAGGTGTGTGGTGTGGGTAAGAAGTGGGTGTGAGAGGTGTGTGGTGTGGGTAAGAAGTGGGGGAAAGGTGTGTGGTGTGGGTAAGAAGTGGGTATGAGAGGTGTGTGGTGTGGGTAAGAAGCGTGTGGGAGGTGTGTAGAGTGGGTAAGACGTTATCTAACAAACGTTACTTTTGCATTTATTAAACATTTACTTGCCTCTTTTAACTTTACCAGCCTCCTTAATTTTTGACCCCCTCTTACATTTTTGCTTGCCTCTTTAAATTTTACATCCCTCTTCAAGTTTTACTAGACTTCGTACCTTTTGCCACAATGTTTTACACGATGTCTGTACTATGCATAGGTTTTTATCGCTTTTTATAATCCCCCAAAGAATCTTTCGTCGCTTTACATCGAAAATAAACCGGAAGCGATCTCCCCTAAACTTTCTCGAATATTCTTTTATGAAAAAAACAGGGGATGGGAACTCGGGATATAGACATGATTTTTAATCCATTTTAAATACTTAAACTTTTTAAAATAGAATAAAATCTCGTAGACAAAAAGAATTGCACACATGTGAACGCCAAATAAAACGTGCATAAAAGTGCGGAATATTATTAGTACTTTATAAATTTACATAAGTTTTTTGAGAAATCTGAAATAGCGTAAATTAGTACTTTCAATCAACGGAAATTACTCAAAATTTGACAGAAGGTAGGGAATTAGATCTTTTACTTACATGTGAAATTTCATTTATCTTTCTGAAATAGTCCTCAAGTTATAGGCTTTTTAAAATTTCAAAGTAGAAAAAGTACCACTTCCGGTTATCGGAAACCGCTCAAAAGTTGATCAGGATCTACGATTTTGATAAAATACTTATATATGAAATTTTATCAACCTACCTGTAACGGTACTCAAGGTATCGTGTTTACACACAGACACACACACACAGAGACATACGGACAGAATTGCAAAGTCCAGTTTTTACGACTGGAAAACGCATAAAACGCCAATACGTTTATATATTTGTATTTATAATTTTTGCCTGATTAAAATAAGTCCTCTATAGTCCGGATGAGATGAAGGACACAGGAGTAAAACGGTGAAAACTGTCAAAATTTCATGTTATTTTTATGCACGATTACAATACTTTCTCTATACTTCGTATGTACGAGAAAGTAAAAATTTGACCATAAGATAGAAATCAGCAAACACAGTTCTGAAACACCAATAAACATTCAACCTGATCACTGCTCCTCTACATATTTTTATACACCGATCATTTGATCAATCCTACCTCCCCCCCCCTTCCCACAGGTGTACCTGGGATACGAGCGTGGCACCTCCAAAAAGTTCTCCTTCAAAGTGTACCGCCCTCTCATTTTGAGGAAAAACTCTTCCAGCTTCGAGAAACAGTTTTTGAGTCTCTGCTACAAGCCCGCTATCATACCGAAACTTTTCTATACTTTTTCCTTTGAGGTGAGTCGATGTCGTTTCTACCTGTCTGTAGTAAATGTAATACCGGGAGGGATGTTTTACCAGAACATCGGGATGTTTCATCAGAACAGAGGGATGTTTCTTCAGAACATCAAGATGGTTCTTCAGAACATCAGAATGTTTCATAAGAACATTGGGATGTTTTATTAGAATATCGGGATGTTTCATCAGAACATTGGGATGTTTAATAATAACATCGGGATGTTTTTTCAGAACATCAGGATGTTTCATCAGAACATCATGATGTTTTATTAGAATATCGGGATGTTTCATAAGAACATCATGATATTTCATGACAACATCGGCATGATTCATCAGAACAGTGGGATGTTTCATCAGAACATCGGTACAGAAATTATATAAAATGGAAGTGAACAAATGAATAATAAAAACGAATCTATTAGCAGTGCAAAGTAACACTATTTTAAACGAGAAAAATGGCCCGTTGAGGAAGGATACACCGGGCGCTAGGTTGATAGTGCTGTCTCTTTTCTCTAAACTAAAACCAACCCACCCCCCCCACACACATCACCCCCGACCCCACCCCTCCCACCCCCACCCACCCCACACACCACCCCCCCCCAACCCCAACCCCCCACCCCCAAAAAACATGTCTACCGTCCCATTCAACGAAATATAATTATATTCTTTTTCCAGTGTCCGCCCCCCTCCCCGAAAATTCTACCCCCGCCCCCGAAAATTTCAAGTACCCCCACCCCTCTCCGGGGAGGAAAAAGTCTGAAAGAAACACTGGTGTCGCGCTTAGCCACTACGCGAAGAATTGCATTAAAGAAATTGCGAGAAAACCACTTTTTAGATTAGACACATTAATTAGGCGGTAATTTTATTATAGAGTATCGATGAGGAAACCACCCCACCCCACCCCCCCCCCCCACACACACCACCACCCCCCCCCGCCCAGTTTTTAATTTCCTTGTGTTTTCTCTAGAGCGTTCTTGTCAGATAGAATTTTTGCTTATGTTTTCTCTAGAGCGTTCTTGTCAGACAGAGCGTTCTTGTCAGATACATAGACAGACAGCGAAACTATTATTATAGACGAGAAATATTGCCCGTTGAGGAAGGGTACAACGGGCGCTAGGCTGATAGTGCTGTCTCTTTTCTCTAAACTAAAACCAACCCACCCCCCCCACACACCACCCCCCACCCCCCCCCCACACACACACCACCCCCACACACACCGCCCCCACCCCCCCACCCCCCCCAAAAACATGTCTACCGTCCCATTCAACGAAATATAATTATATACTTTTTCCAGTGTCCGCCCCCTCCCAGAAAATTCTACCCCCGCCCCCGAAAATTTCAAGTACCCCCACCCCTCTCCGGGGAGGAAAAAGTCTGAAAGAAACACTGAAACCAACCCCCACCCCCCCCACCCCCACCCCCCACCCCCCCCCACACACACTCCCCCCCCACCCCTCCACCCCACCCCCCACCCCCAAATAAAAAAAAACATGTCTACCGTCCCATTGCAAGAAAACCACTTTTTAGATTAGACACATTAATTAGGCGGTAATTTTATTATAGAGTATCGATGAGGAAATTTCTTTTGAGTTGGGGAGGGGGGGGGGGGGCTCAGACGTTCTTACGCGGGGGGTGTGGCTTCGCCCCTACCCGAAGAATTGTATGCAAGAAACTCTTCACGCAAACCATTTAGATTAGACAAAATTTCCTTTTTATTCAATGTTTACGCGATAATCAATGACGTCATTATATTACTGTGTGCACTTTCCGCCCTGAGATTATTTTCAACTCTATGCTAAATGTGTCGACGTCATACTTCGCCTTTCGTTTCACTGTGCAAGTTTTTAAATTGCTTGTGTTTTCTCTAGAGCGTTCTTGTCAGACAGAGCGTTCTTGTCAGACAGAGCGTTCTTGTCAGACAGACAGCGAAACTATTATTATAGACGAGAAAAATGGCCCGTTGAGGAAGGATACAACGGGCGCTAGGCTGATAGTGCTGTCTCTTTTCTCTAAACTAAAACCACCCCACCCCCCTCCCCCCACACACACACCACCCCCCCCACCCCCACCCCCCCACACACACCACCCCCACCCCTACCCCCCCCCACACCCCCCCCCCACCCTCCCCCCCCCCCCCAAAAACATGTCTACCGTCCCATTCAACGAAATATAATTATATTCTTTTTCCAGTGCCCGCCCCTCCCCGAAAATTCTACCCCCGCCCCCGAAAATTTCAAGTACCCCCACCCCTCTCCGGGGAGGAAAAAGTCTGAAAGAAACACTGGTGTCGCGCTTAGCCACTACGCGAAGAATTGCATTAAAGAAATTGCGAGAAAATCACTTTTTAGATTAGACACATTAATTAGGCGGTAATTTTATTATAGAGTATCGATGAGGAAACCACCCCACCCCACCCCCCCACACACACACCACCCCCACCCCCCCTACCCCCCACCCCCCACTCCCAAAAAAATCATGTCTACCGTCCCATTCAACGAAATATAATTATATACTTTTTCCAGTGTTCGCCCCCCTCCCCGAAAATTCTAACCCCGCCCCCGAAAATTTTAATTACCCCCACCCCTCTCCGGGGAGGAAAAAGTCTAAAAGAAACACTGGTGTCGCGCTTAGCCACTACCCGAAGAATTGCATTAAAGAAATTGCAAGAAAACCACTTTTTAGATTAGACACATTAATTAGGCGGTAATTTTGTTATAGAGTATCGATGAAGAAATTTCTTTTGAGTTGGGGAGGGGGGGGGGCTCAGACGTTCTTACGCGGGGGGTGGGGCTTCGCCCCTACCCGAAGAATTATATGCAAGAAACTCTTCACGCAAACCATTTAGATTAGACAAAATTTCCTTTTTTTCAATGTTTACGCGAAAATCAATGACGTCATATTACTGTGTGCACTCTCTGGTTTGAGATTATGTTCTACTCTATGCTAAATGTGTCGACGTCATATTTCGTTTTTCGAATTACTGTGCATGTTTTTATTTTGCTTGTGTTTTCTCTAGAGCGTTCTTGTCAGACAAAGCGTTCTTGTCAGACAGAGCGTTCTTGTCAGACAGACAGCGAAACTATTATTATAGACGAGAAAAATGGCCCGTTGAGGAAGGATACACCGGGCGCTAGGTTGATAGTGCTGTCTCTTTTCTCTAAACTAAAACCAACCCATCCCCCACACACACCTACCCCCAACCCCCAACCCCACCCCCCACCCACCCCACCCCCAGCCCCACCCCAGCCCCACCCACCCCACACACCACCCCACCCAGCCCCACCCCACCCCCACCCCCCACCCCCACCCCCAAAAAAACATGTCTACCGTCCCATTCGACGAAATATAATTATATACTTTTTCCAGTGTCCGCCCCCCTTCCCGAAAATTCTACCCCCGCCCCCGAAAATTATTACCCCCACCCCTCTCCGGAGAGGAAAAAGTCTGAAAGAAACACTGGTGTCGCGCTTAGCCACTACCCGAAGAATTGCATTAAAGAAATTGCAAGAAAACCACTTTTTAGATTAGACACATTAATTATTCGGTAATTTTATTATAGAGTATCGATGAAGAAATTTCTTTTGAGTTGGGGAAGGGGGGGGGGGGCTCAGACGTTCTTACGCGGGGGGTGGGGCTTCGCCCCTACCCGAAGAATTATATGCAAGAAACTCTTCACGCAAACCATTTAGATTAGACAAAATTTCCTTTTTTTCAATGTTTACGCGAGAATCAATGACGTCACATTACTGTGTGCACTCTCTGGTTTGAGATTATGTTCTACTCTATGCTAAATGTGTCGACGTCATATTTCGTTTTTCGAATTACTGTGCATGTTTTTATTTTGCTTGTGTTTTCTCTAGAGCGTTCTTGTCAGACAGAGCGTTCTTGTCAGATAGACAGACAGCGAAACTATTAGTATAGACGAGAAAAATGGCCCGTTGAGGAAGGATACAACGGGCGCTAGGCTGATAGTGCTGTCTCTTTTCTCTAAACTAAAACAACCCCACCCCCCCCCCCACACACACACCCCAACCCCCCCCACACACACCACCCCCACCACCACCCCCCACCCCCCACACACACCACCCCCCACCCCCCCACCCCCACCCCACCCCCCAAAAAAACATGTCTACCGTCCCATTCAACGAAATATAATTATATACTTTTTCCAGTGTCCGCCCCCTCCCCGAAAATTCTACCCCCGCCCCCAAAAATTTCAAGTACCCCCACCCCTCTCCGGGGAGAAAAAGTCTGAAAGAAACACTGGTGTCGCGCTTAGCCACTACCCGAAGAATTGCATTAAAGAAATTGCAAGAAAACCACTTTTTAGATTAGACACATTAATTAGGCGGTAATTTTATTATAGAGTATCGATGAAGAAATTTCTTTTGAGTTGGGGAGGGGGGGGGCCTCAGACGTTCTTACGCGGGGGGTGGGGCTTCGCCCCTACCCGAAGAATTGTATGCAAGAAACTCTTCACGCAAACCATTTAGATTAGATAAAATTGCCTTTTTATTCAATGTTTACTCGAGAATCAATGACGTCATATTTGTGTGCACTATCCGGCTTGAGATTATTTTCTACTCTATGCTAAATGTGACCGCGTCATACTTCGTTTTTCGAATTACTGTGCATGTTTTTATTTTGCTTGTGTTTTCCCTAGAGCGTTCTTGTCAGATAGAATTTTTGCTTGTGTTTTCTCTAGAGCGTTCTTGTCAGATAGATAGATACATACACAGACAGCGAAACTATTAGTATTAATAATAGTAAAGAATAATATTTACAATATTATATATATATATATATATATATATATATATATATATATATATATATATATATATATATATATACAATTGTTGTATTAGAAAAATATATGTTTTACAGAGAATAGCTATAGAATACGTGAAAGTAATTTAGAATTTTTGTAACCATATAAAATCGATGAACCTATAAAGCTGGAATAGTAATAAAATGATTTTTCTCATTAATATCAAACAAACCTGCATCTCAGTAATACCAGTAATGTTGTTCTATATTGTCTCATTAACCTGTGACCCCCCAGTTCCAGAACTGCCTAGTTCTAGAACAGATGACCGGCAAGTCCTTGCATGACCAGCTCAAGTTCGCTCGACGGTTCACCAATGAGGTGACACAGTGAGTATTGGTGACTTTAGTGACGATTGGTCACACAGTGAGTGTTTGTGACATAGGTGACGATTTGTGACTTTAGTGGCGATTGGTGACTTTAGTGACGATTTGTGACTTTGGTGATAGTAGGTGACTTAAGTGACGATTTGTGACTTTAGTGATAGTATGTGACTTTATTGACGAGTGGTGACACAGTGAGTATTGGTGACTCTAGTGACGAGTGTTTGTGACATAGTTGACGATTTGTGACTTTAGTGGTGATTGGTGACTTTAGTGACGATTTGTGACTTTGGTGATAGTAGGTGACTTTAGTGACGATTTGTGACTTTAATGACGATTGGTGACTTTAGTGACGATTGGTGACTTTAGTGACGGTTGGTAACTTTAAGCACGATTTGTGACTTAATGATGATTATTGACTTTGACATTGATTGGTGACCTTAGCAACGATTGGCGACAAGTTGTCGATTGCTAATATTAACATCGATTAGTAGTGTTAACTATCTCAATGGTGAACAGTTTAGGTGAAACGATCTCGTTTTAAATGACTCCGTTAATGGAATAGATACAACACTATTTACAGTGGTTTAGTTAAAGTTAGAATAATTTAATTGTATGTTTTATATTTTGGCTGCAGTGGCGTAGCCAGGATCGTCTCAAGGGGCGGGGGGTTCCAATTTTTACCCGGGGACAAACTTTCGATTTGCACCCCCCCCCCTCAAACTTTCGATTTGCACCCCCCCCCTCAAACTTTTTTCTATATACCGAGGGGTCTATAGGGGGGGTTATGACCCCCTCCCCCCTAACCCCCCCTGCCTACGCCACTGTTTGGTTGCAAAACTTGGGAGTTATATTGCGTTGCAGTAAAGATATCTGGCAAAAATCGCTAATGAAAAAGCAGATAACATAATTCAGAGCTTTTAAAACTTTGTAACACAATATGTTATAGATGACACAAATAATGTCAGATAACAAGCAGTGCCGGTTATTTAGCGCCCTAGGCAAAACTTATTAAAACGCCCCCTTTCACACAAATTAATAACTACGAGCCGACCCGCAGCGTATCATACGCCGCTATTTAGTTGTTTTTTTTCTACTTTTCAGTAATTTATAATTTGTGAATTCGACAGTACCAATGCTGGCACTGAAAATATTTGCTTAAAAACACTAAACCCCCCTCCCCCCCCCCCCCCACGTGAAAGCAGCCTCCTCTTAGTTACCTCCTCTAAGTTTAAAATCGTTTCAAACTAAATTATCTGCCCCTAATAGCCGTCACCAAACCCGTCTCTGTGATTGTAAAATGTAAACAGAGTGAACACCGCTCACCAGATCATGTGGGGGTGGGGTGGGGGTGGTAGTGATAGTGATAGAGAGGAAGAGAGGGGACTGCAAAGGCGCGCTTGCAGCTTGTTTTCTAACTGATCCCAGAAGAGAATTATATATATAGATAACATATGCGTAAGAAAACAATTAATTAAGAGTGACTTATTAAGTTATTATCGATTGCATACACGTTATCAGTAGACATCAAAATCAAATTTTACTTGCCTCCTCCGTCTCAAAATTTTGTACTCATTCCTTCAATTCCAATTTGCAAGCGTAATCACATTTTATTGAAATAGTTGCGAAGTGCACAAGTCTACTTTGTACTTTACGACATTGCCCCTTTTCCCCATCCCCATCCCCCTTAGAACATTTTATATGCTCCCCCCCCCCTCGGGAAAAAAGTGTGGAAAAAAAACACTGAATCAAAAAAAAAATTCTTGTAGTTTTGGACTCCCTGCAGTCCTCCCAGGATAAGTTTTAAAACGGAACTTGCCTGTTTTAAGCTTGACAGTCTTTAGTTATAATTGTAAAATTAAAGTTCCCTTTTCAAGGGCAAGTGAAGTAGAGTTCACCTGTTTCTAACCCTTTGCATTCCCTAACGTGAGTTAGGTACCGATCTACTGCCTTGAACCCGGTTTCGAACTCGAGACTTAAGGGTTAGCAGTCCAGCTGATTATGTAACTATTTTTTGGTTTTTGAAAAATAAAAGGTTATAAAAAATATAGATTCCAACCTAAAATTTTTATATACGAATAGACAATTAATTAGATGTTTAATTTACGACTAAGACTGTATGTCTACTAACATAAAGTATTGCAATCTATAACGGCTACTGATGTATTTGTTTTTCAACTTGATAATGCTAAAAAAAAACTACCAAACTATTTTGTTTAGAACTTAAGCTCTATACAATTTTTACAATAGAAAATAATAAATTAAAGGTGCAGGAAGTTGAAATGAATGTTAAGTTAAGCAGCGAAGTATCTCCCATTTGAAAATCAAAATACCAAAATTTTATTCAAGGGAAATAACTTTCACGAGAATAGCTAAATTAGCCAAGTATAACTAAGACATGCTTGAAAAAACAATAAAACGCTCTAATTTTCATTACATAATAATTATAACACACATTTTATTTTATCTATGTCATCATGTTAAAGCATTACATTTTAAATATTAATTACTTAGCTGTAATGATTGTTTAAAACTCTAAAAATCATAGCTTTATTATAACATACTTCTTTCAATTTCCATTACATACTTTTAATTGTATACTGCTATTAATATACGTTGTAAAAAGTTGGATCCCCTAAGTCAGGGGTCGGCAACCTTTTGAAGCGGAAGAGCCAAAAGTTACAATTTTCACATTTTCCCTGGTTTTAAAGAGCCACTAATAATTTTTTTATTTCAAGTATTTTATTTTTTGATTAAGATTATTAGTATTTGTGCGAGGGGCTGGAGAGCCGCATCTTGACATCAAAAGAGCCGCATGCGGCTCGCGAGCCGCAGGTTGCCGACCCCTGCCCTAAGTAAAGGGATGCCGTTTAAAAAATCAAACACTGGTACCTGTCCTAGACATGGCTAGAATTATTGATTAAATATAAGAAACTTATAATTTGAAATAATCAAAGTTTACGGTTAGTTATAAATTCCATTCTAATTAATATTATATTAATACTTTAAGAGTAGTAATATAGATTCCTAAAAACCTAAAGATTTTTCAACTAGAGAGGGCCTACCTTTCTTTGTAGTGTGTTCCGTACTGAATTGAAATCATCTAACTTACGATAAACTCGACTACTCGGTGTACTCTACTACATTCACAACACATATCAAACTTCGATACCTAAACATAACTAGACTCGATGCTCCAGAACTACGACACTACCTCGCTTAACTTCACCAAGCTCTAGAAACGGTACTTTCAATTAACAACGATTTCACTGGGCCTACTACTACACTTTAACAGTCAATATAATTCGATATCTTAATACCACAAGAATCAATACTCCCAAACTTCAGAACTACGATACTTCATCCCCTGCAATTTCATTTCTATATTTCCAATCAGATTCCACTAGACCCTCAACTACAAAACAGCCGAATAAAAATTATGACACTTTTACACTTCGATACTTTATACTTACGAAACCATATCAGCAACAGCCTTCCGCCGTTACTCCCAAATCTAAACGATTCATCAAAACTTACCAAACAAGTACAATACTTTGAACACCCCGTCATTACAAAACTCTATACAGCAGTACATATTTCTAATTCAAAGTCAAAGAAAACAAACGAGACTTACAAGCCCTATTAAAATTAAATAACCGTTTGAAATGTTCGAAATTTAAATAACGAACTTATTTAATCGTTTTCTACATCAAATATGTGACACCAAATTAAAAAGATAAAGTTACTGGTAAAAAGCGCCCCGACCTTTCCAAAATCTGTATGTGGGGTTGCATTTCACCATCGCGAATAAATATAGGCCTAGACAGACCTAATTTTGGCGGTGGGGTCAAAATTGATAGTTCATCCGGGGTGCCGAAATAGATCGCTACTCCTTTATATAAGTTATTGATTATTAGGTATTTTTTGATAATAGGAATTAAACATGTTGCGCCCCCTAGGGATGGCGCCCTAGGCGACTGCCTAGTTCGCCTTATAGGTAGCGCCGGCCCTGATTACAAGTTTTTAAATCTTACCAGAGGCGTATCCAGGTTTTCGTTGTAGGGGGAGCGAAAAGAGCAAAAAAAGGCGCCGAATTTTTAACACGTTCTATATAAGTGTATTATATATATATATATATATATATATATATATATATATATATATATATATATATATATATATATATATATATATATATATATATACTAGCTGTAAGTCATTACTACGCTATGATGTAAAATAAATTGAAAGTAGCACTCTGAATAAATAAGAAAAAACACACAACGTAGGCCGGCAAAACAAAAATTGTATCAATCTAAACAATATATATATATATATATATATATATATATATATATATATATATATATATATATATATATATTTAAATATATATATATACACTACATTCAAAAACAATGAAAGTAACACAATCTGTTTTGTAACTCTTGTAAAAAAAATTTCTTACATAATAATTCCTGGGAAATTATTTAAGACAAGTGAAATAGGGGAAACAATCACTCTCTTAATATAAAAATGTATATATCTACACATTTAATTATAAATGTCAAAACAAATAAATAATAACTTTAGAATATAATGAAATTGTTTAACACTATTCGTGTTTACAAAATGTTTTTGCCTATAATCATTATTTAATATATCGTCATCATAAATGCTAAAGTATCACAGCATAATGAAAGTTTTTAAAATCAGAGTTGGTATAAAACCACGCTTTTCGATATAATAGAAAACAGCCTACATGTAACTAGATATCTATTTATTAGTTCAGATCATATATTTTTAATTAACTACTGCTTCTTTGTGTTCTTTAAAGATCATTTTTTAACATAGTGATAGGTATGGCTTAAATCAGGGGTCTCCAAACTTTTCAGCCCGAGGGCTGCATTAGCTATCAAATATAAGTTCGGGGGCCAGAGTTTCTTTCAGGCATCTCTTCGCGGATGCGCAGTCCTCCACCCCCCTCCCCCCCCCCCCCCCCCGAAGAACGCCACCCTCGCCCCCAACGGAATATATATATATATATATATATATATATATATATATATATATATATATATATATATATATATATATATATATATATATATATATATATATATATATATACATTTCAAGTGCCCCCTCACCCGAGAAAAAATATCTGAAAGAAATACTTTCGGGACCGACAACGCACTCGAGGTCCAAGTTTGTTTTCAAATTGTTTGTCACGTAGGCTTACTTCATTCTTGACAAAGTTTTATGTTGTTCCGAAATTTGAAAGGTGCTTTGATGCAAAAGTTTTAATATTAGGAAATCTTCCTTGGGCAAATACTTATAAAACCCACCCGCCCTTATTTGAACTTGTCTTTAAGGAGGTCATTTGCTGGCCAACTGGCCACATTTACTTTAATGGTATTTGCACTCAATGCTACATTTTCAGTTTGTTTTGAATTTTTTCTCAGCCACCTCCAATAAACTTTTATTTTTCGTGGACAAAAAGATCTCCAATGAGAGAGCCTCGCGTGCCGCATCCGGCCCGCGGGCCGTAGTTTGGAGACCTCTGGCTTAGATCACACCTTTTTACTGGGAATTGCAAAACAATATTCACAGAGTTTTACGTTTAATGCTTAATTGCTGCATGAAAAGAAATTTGTGATTTACATAGATGTGCCGACCAAAATTTTTTTTAACAAATATCATTGTTTAAAACTTTGAGTTTAAAAAGTTTCCAAAAAAGGCGCCACTTTGCTGAAAATGGCCAGAGGGGGAGCGGCCGCTCCCCCTGCTCCCCCCCTGCGTACGCTACTGAATCTTACTGACAAATTTAAAAATACGACCTACAAGTTCCTAAATCTACCAACAATTTCTTAAATCTAACCAACAAGTTCTTAAAATCTGACTGAAAAATTTTAAAATCTTAATGACAAGTTCCTTTTAAATGTGCCGGCCAGGTTTACAAGGAACAGGCTACGTTATTAAAACAAGCTTCTTACCGTTTCTTCTTGCAGATTCTACCTGGCTGAAATAGCAGTGGCAGTCTCCTTCTTGCACAGTAAAAATATCATTCACAGGTAAAAATATCATTCACAGGTAAAAATATCATTAACAGATAAAAGTATCATTCACTTGCAAAAATATCATCCACATGTAAAAAATAATTTCAGTTGCAAGTAAAAATATCATTCATAGGTAAAATTTACATTTAAAGGTACAAATTACATTCAAGGACAGAAAGTATCATTCACATGTAAAAATGCCATTCCCATTCAAAAGTATCATTCACAGGTTAAAAAAACCACACTAACAAGTAAAAATATAATTCATTGGTAAAAGTTACAGTAATGGGTAAAAATTACCATTCGTAGATAAAAGATAACATACACAGGTACACATTTGATTTATGGGGAAAATTATCACAGGTAAAATTATTATTCGTAAATAGCATTATATAGGATAAGAAAAACCTAAGCGAGTTGGAATACGATTAGGATTTATATGTATGTATGTATGTATGTATGTACCCACAGAAACCTGCAACTCGATTCCTTCTGGATCCAAAGTGACGGTCACCTGAGGCTGACCGACTATACTAGGTGTATCAGCAGTAAAACCATCTTCCCGACCTTCGACTGGCAGTTTAAAATCAGCTACTACACTCCACCAGAGGTATGGGCCAGTCGTTATGAACTGACATGCTTGCTATATGGTATGACGTGACTCGCTAACGTAAAGTATTTAGAAATCCAAGTTGTTAGTTTTTCAGGTAGACGACCGGTGTTTCTTCAAGACTTTCTTCCCCGGGCTCACTTGAGGGGGGGGGGGGGCATTCTAAATTTTCCGAGAGGGGGGGGGGGGTGGCGGGAGGACACTGGTAAAAAGTTTGTATTTTCTATATAAATTTCCATTTCGTTCAAGGGACAGGGGCTTCTTCGCGAGGAAGAGGGGGGGGGGGGGGGGTGGCGGCTCCGAAGGACTGGCTATTTTCAGTGTCATTCCACCTATGCACCCCCTCCCTCTCTAGCTCCGAGAAATGACAACAACTTTACATTGAACTACCATGTTGACAGCCATCTGGTGTTGAATGAATAGCATGAAACCACAGTTTAACTTTTGTAAAGCAATTATATATATATATATATATATATATATATATATATATATATATATATATATATATATATATATATATGTATATATATGTATATATATATATGTATATATATGTATATATATATATATGTATATATATATATGTGTGTATATATATATATATATATATATATATAAATATATATATATATATATATATATATATATATATATATATATATATATATATATATATATATCCGCCCCGGCACTGACCTTAGTAAAATACCTATATTTAACTGAAAAAAACCGCCATCATGTCCCGATTTTGGATAAATCTTTCAGATCGTACGGGGTGGACGGGTCACCAAGATGGTGGACATGTGGGCTGTTGGGATCATGTTCTACAGGATGATCAGTGGTCGAGTAGGTAGTTGGTACATGTTTTACATTAGAGCAATTACTTTTTCAGTGATATCCAAGAGTAGTGTGGTAAAAAAAAAACTGTATTTTTCTTTTTTTTTTAAATTAAAATCGGAATTATGTTTGTTATTTACATTATCAAAGTACTTACATTTATTTTTTTGGTCTGGATGACCCAGGGTTAACACGTTTGCTAAATAATTAAAACTTGGAAAATTCATCGTAGATGCCGTTTTACTGCTCAAACCGCAATAAATTGAGGGAAGCCATCCGGTACAAGCCGATGGAGGTCAGCAGGTATTTCACACCTGATGGTCAAGCCCTGTGTTACCATGTGAGTATCGATGACTTGAGGTTAACATGTGAGTATCGATTACCTGAGGTCATCATGTGAGTATCGATTACCCTAGGTTACCATGTAAGTATCGATTACCTGAGGTTACCATGTAAGTTTCGATTATCTGAGGTTACCATGTGAGTATCGATTACCCGAGGTTACAATGTGAGTATCTATTCCATGAGGTTACCATGTGAGTATCGATTATTTGAGGTTACCATTTGAATATCGATTACCCGAGGTTGCAATGTGAGTATCTACTCCATGAGGTTATCATGTGAGCATCGATTACCTGAGGTTACCATGTGAGTATCGATTACCTGAGGTTACCATTTGAATATCGATTACCTGAGGTTACCATGTGAGTATCGATTACCTTAGGTTACCATGTGAGTATCGATTACCTGGGGTTACCATTTGAATATCGATTATCTGAGGTTACCATGTGAGTATCGATTACCTGAGGTTACCATGTAAGTATCGATTGCCTGAGGTCATCATGTGAGTATCGATTATCTGAGGTTACCATGTAAGTATCGATTACCTGAGGGTACCATGTAAGTATCGATTACCTGGGGTTACCATTTGAATATTGATTATCTGAGGTTACCATGTGAGTATCGATTACCTGAGGTTACCATGTAAGTATCGATTACCTGAGGTCATCATGTGAGTATCGATTATCTGAGGTTACTATGTAAGTATCGATTACCTGAGGGTACCATGTAAGTATCGATTACCTTAGGTTACCATGTAAGTATCGATTACCCGAGGTTACCATGTGTATCGAATACCGGAGTTTGTACCAAACAAGTAGAATTCACGCATTTGTAGGTTGGATCGGATATACTTTTATTTTTACAACCTATTTCGGTCTTTGGTAGACGACATGTATCTGAATTGAAGTAATCAAAAAGTTTTTTTAATAAAGTTCGAACACTTCACGTGACGCCGTGGTCGAATGGTAGAGCATTTGGCTGTTAGCCCGAAGGCCCCCGAGTTCGGATCTCGGTTGAGACTTGAGAGTGTAGGACCTTTCTGAGTCCACCCAGCACTGATGTTTACCTGTTTTTTTTAACCTGAAAGTAAAGGCGGCTGTGCATAGGGCTGACCACACCATCCCTTAAGATGCCGATCTCAAAAAACATATGTACTCAACTTAATGTGTCGAATTGATCGCTATGTATAAAGTGGAATTTCTACTTAACTTTAAAACCAAAACATAAAAAATGCTTTCAGGTATTTCTACCTATTTCTACCTATAGTTTTGTTTTACATTGTAATAAATATTCTTTTTTTAAATACTTATATCATCTCTTTTTAATTCTCTAAATAAGTTAATTATAAAATGTATCATTTAAAATAATTCACGAAAGAGATTAATTAATTAATCTACAACTGATGCACCATTACGAACATGTAACACAGCTGCTAACGAAAACACCCTCTCTCCGACTTGGGGCGGATGAGTCGACATTTATAGCCTTTGAAAGACAAAATTATTTCGACGGGGTGGATTGGAGACAGGTGGTCAAGGGAACCCTACCTGCGCCACACATTCCAATACTCTGTACGTTGTTTTTAGTTTCATTTTATAACCTATTCATTTCAGATTGATTAATTAAAATTTTTAATTTAAAACGTGTTTGTTTTAAATTATGTTAATTATATGTGTTATGTTAATTATAATTTAAAAAAAGAATTAAAAACGTATTTGTTTAAAATTATATAAAACATATATTTGTTTATTCAAATCGCATTTCTGTAAAATTATATTAATTATATATTTTAATCAAAATTGTTTTTTTTAAAAATTATATTAATTTTATATACTTTAATAAAAAACGCATATGTTTAAAAAACATTTGATGAAGCATAGCCCAAATATCGAAGCTGTTCTTATGTAGCCTACTTGTCGTGTGCAATTTTTCTTGGCAAATTTAGTGTTTTTAATTTAATTATAATACCGTAGAAAGGGATGACTGACATAACGTATTTTGCAGTACTTTTTATAACATTTTTTTTTCCTGAAAAGATAAGAAAAATGTTTGCTATAATTTTGAAGTTGTCATTTACTTCACTTTAAAATACAGTTTTTTTTGTTACACAAAACAAAACAAAACATTAAAAATTAGTCTCTTTTTTTTTCGCTCACCAAGTTGCTACTATGCCAGAGGTCCTCGATATTGAAAACGAGACTATTCTAGATTTGAAAGTCACTGACAGCGTTAGAATGAGACTCAAACCTCTACGATATAAGGACATTTCCACAAAGTAAGTTGTTGATTTTTAAACTTCTTAAAAAAAAACTTATTAATTGCGCAAAAGAGGTACGGACCGCACCGGGTGACACCATTTAGGGGGGTGACACCAAGCCAAAAAAATAGCACCGAGTAACACCCGACCTCGCTACGCCACTGTATAAGAGGTAAGGAAAGTAAACCTTTAACACACTCCTGAACATTTTACGCTTAAAGGGGAATGATGATATGACATACATTTTTTTTTAAATGTTACGGGGAAGAGGCGGAAATTTTAACAGATTTTTCAGTGAAATGGAAATAATTTTTGAACAAAAACCCAACATTTTACAGGGAAGAGAAGTAACTCTTCAACACACAACTGTACATGTTACGCTAAACGGGGAATGATGCTATAATAGATAACTCAGAATTTTACACGGAAGTGGGAGGAAATTTTAAAATTGTAACATAAAAGTTACAGTGAAAGGGGAATAACTATTTAACCAAAGAAGGGGAGGAATATTCAATATAGTAACAACATATTACAGTGAAAGGGGAGTAGCTCTTTAACAGAAAACTCAAAATTTTACTTGGAAGGGGGAGAGCTCTTTAACGTTATATTTTACCGGGAAGGGGAAGAACTCTTTAACGTTATATTTTACAGGGAAGGGCAGTAACTGTTTAACATAAGACTCAAACTTTCACATTTTAACTTTAAATTTTACAGGGAAGGGGGAGAACGCTTTAACGTTATATTTTACAGGGAAGGGCAGTAACTGTTTAACATAAAACTCAAACTTTCACATTTTAACTTTAAATTTTACAGGGAAGGGGGAGAACGCTTTAACGCTATATTTTACAGGGAAGGGCAGTAAATGTTTAACATAAAACTCAAACTTTCACATTTTAACTTTAAATTTTACAGGGAAGGGGATGACGCTTTAACGCTATATTTTACAGGGAAGGGCAGTAACTGTTTAACATAAAACTCAAACTT